AGGGCACACAGAGACGAACAACCATCCACGCTCACACTCACACCTAGGGACAATTTTGAGTGTTCAATCAGCCTGCCATGCATGTTTTTGGAATGTGGGAGGAAACCGGAGTACCGGGAGAAAACATGCAAACTCCACACAGGGAGGCAGCCTGAAATTTATTTGTATTTTCTATATATATCTATATTTATATTTTAAAAGGGAATTCAACTAAATGTCAGTATAATAAGCTCCCTTTTAAATAATGTTATTTCCATACTCAGCATTAATGCGACTTCTGGTGCTACATAAATTTGCTGATATCTTTGTAGTCTGGTTGGTACTTGGTGTGGTTAAGCTTCATGCAAGCGTGTAGGCTTTCATCTGTTAAACGTGATCATAGGTTGTACTTGATGTTTATACGATGTGAAAATGACTGATCCAGCAAAGCTAGCGGAATTATAGTCATCTTGCCGGGTCCATTTGGGGATTTGCTGCTGGATAGTTTGAACCCTGTTCAGTAGCTCTTGGCACGCCGCAGGGTATTTTGATGTAAAGATAGCATGGCGTGTGTCGAAGTGCCACTTTACATTCGACCGTTTCATCGATGCAATTTTGTCATTGCAAATTAGACACACTGCAGAACCTGCTCTCTCCACAAAGGCAAATTCTTCGGTCCGTTCGTCCTGAAATGTACGAAACCCATCTTTTTTTTCTTTTCGCAATCTTATTCGTAACGAGCAAATGACCGAGCAGACTGATTCAAAAGAGGGTGTTTATCTGTTTACCCAGGAGCATCCAACGTAGGCCAGTGTCATCCAATTAAAATAATGAACAATTGCTTCTGCAGCCAACTGCAGCCCCGAACAGGACATGGGCAGTGAAAAATAGATGGATGCATTTAAACAAGTGAGAATATTTTGTTTATCTGCGAGCCAGATTGCAATCATCAAAAGAGCCGCACCTGGCTCGCAAGCCATAGGTTCCCGATCCCTGCCCTAAAAAAACAACAACCAAAGATCGTAATGTCTATTATAATGAGTAAAAATAGAACTCTATAATATTTTATCAAAAAAGATGTTCAGTGCAACCTTGATTTTATGGACTGATTCAGAGAAGGGGTTGTTCGTTGCAGTCGATTGCCCGTGACCTAGTACTTTATTTTTTTGGGTGTCCTAAAAACACGTTTTACACGGCAAAAGTATTGTTTTGTACTTTTTTCGGGTCTTATGATGTAAAAAAAAAAAAAAAAGCTTACAACAGTTTATAAAAGTTTTCAATTTTATCCAAAACTTTCCTTGTTGGTTCTTGGGGAAGAGTATGTCATGCATCTGGTTGCGTTCAGGTGTCATGTTAGTGATTCCCTTCTTCACCTCCATTGTTGTTAGATGCCATGAAAAAAAAGGCCCTTATGGGGAAAAAAAACAACTCCGTATAGTAATCCCACCCCCTCCTTTATGGCAATTACTTTCCAGACCACCCTGTCAATAAGTGAAATCAACGATATAGAATTACCCGAGGGCAGGGGTCTCCAACTCCGGTTCTCGTGAGCCCTTTCCAGCCTATTTTTATGTAACCCTGTTACAACACACCTGATTGAAATGATCAAGACTGTTATCATCCCACAATAGGCAGGACATCAATAATTCTGCCCAAAGATATACTACATTATAAAGTGAACCGACTGTCGTCACTTTATTGAGCATTTAAAAGTAGGATATACAGATGATGGCCGGAAATAAAATCTGCGCTGACAAAATCAGGGTTTTATTCTTTTTCGTCTTATTTTTCTTCTTCTTTGTCTTGTACGTCACAAACTCGCAACGGAGGGGGATTTACTGTACTGTACCAAAAATGGCATCGTTGAGAGACATGTACACGACTAGCGCCTGAGCAAAAAACAGCTGTAGATAGGAATAACTAGATATAATAAGAAAACCTTTATTTGTCCCACAATGGACACGGTCCTTTTGAGTTGCGTGCTTATGCTGATGCTAAGCCCATGTCGATGTTTGCCATTACTTTTGATGGAGACATCGCCACTCCCAACTCCACATTGACATGTGTTTTTGCTTTCTTTGCTGGCTCTAGGCTCAGGCATAGCTATACCAATGACAGCATCAAACTCTTAAAAATATCTCTCTGTTTGCCGGAATGCAGCCAATCGTACAACTAATAGACTTTAGAACAACTACTTTAGCATAGGTGCTTTGAGTGGACTGCACACCATTTTCTGTCTGTTAAATCCAGGGTCTGTTGGCTACAGGTCTATTAAATTGACTGTAATTAAATAGCAGAATTAAAAAGAACAAAACCATTTTTGTCACACGGTATCACTGGATTAGCCATTGTGATGCTCTTTCCTGCGTGCCACCTTGGGGTAGTATAAGACATACAGACACATAAGTCAAAGCAAAAAAAAACCCAAAAACAAACAAACCCAAAAACGGCTTGCACAAATTGTATCTTGAAATACTAACTAGGCAAGTCACTTGTATTTCAAGGCCTCACTGTAATATTGAGCGTGCTTTTTACCATCCCCTGCTTTATGTTTATGTTGGACAAATATATGTTTATGCAGCAGTACCGTAATATTGTAACACTCGAGATGCGTCTGAACGCATTTTGAATGCCCTGGATTCAACTCCCAAACGTCATGGTCTTGTCGTTAACTCAGACAAGCCAACCTTGGGATTTTTTGTCAAAACCAGTTGAGACCAGCATTGATCTGACTGATTGACTTCATTAATATGACAATATGGAGAAGCACTGGCTGAAACAACACATATCTTCAGTTCATGGGGTGCTCATCCCCCAACACCCCTGAAATAACTGCAACCTGCAGAGCATAGTGACAGTGTTTTTTTTTAGAGGGGGCCATATTATGAAACCCCACTGAGTATGTTTAGGTCACAAAATGCTGCAGTCTCTCATTTTTCTTAAATGCAATTAAGTTCTTCTTTAGAGATTCATTTTTAAATTCATACCAGGATTTATTTGTTGCAAGAATTGAGATTTTTACATGTTGTGCTTTGAAAAAAGTTGCAGACACTGTGTTTTTGGCTATCAAATGTTTTTCAATGAAAATTCAATTAAATTGAGAATGCTCCTAAGCTGTTCAACCTTGTCGTGGTTTTCGGAAAAGCAAACATCCGGGTGCCAGGTGAGGCGGTCTTGGTGTGGAGCGGGGCTATTGGAAAAACACCGATATAGACAACTATATCGATACCTGTAGCAAGCCTTGGAGACAGTCAGTTCAAAGTAGTGTTGTGTGGACACAACAAATGGGAGACCCAAGATTGACTAACAATCGATCCAGGGTGAATTATTTTTGCCCAAAACGAGCTGTGACAGCAAATATATATTTTCTTCTTTTGCATTTTAACAAAATTTATCTCAACAGAATGTCTTTTTTATAATTCGAATGTAACCTTTCCATTTCTGCTGCTTGTCTTTAATGCAACTAAGAAACTGAATTCTTCTTTTGTCTTTTTTTTCCTGCTTCCCTGCTGCACGTACCTCCTCATCACCACTCTTTCTCATCACCTTTTTTTCCCCATTTTCTGCTTTTCTTTCTTTTATTTTCTTGCCCAACTCATCTTCCCCTAGAAGTATCGATATCCAGAAGAGGAAGGTGCATCGCTAGGCCCACCAAAATTCCACCAACATACCTGCCATCAGCACCCAATGGGAGTTACCAAAGAGTTGACTGATGCAAGGACTCTCAGGAAGGAAGGGATGGATCAGGGGACCTGGAGAAGAGAGAAAGGGTTCAGTGGAACTTTGGAGAGAGACATGGGTAGGGACATGGAAAGCTCACTGATGAGGGATGGATCTCTTTGTCGCCGTGATCTCCACGGGGCAGAGCTGGTTCAGGTGGCAGAGCGACAGCTCTCTCAGATTCAGCATGTCCACGGATACGTCACTCACGCACACATCACACCTGCTCAGGTAACTTTACATTCTTGTTTACAATTTATTTTGCGTCACAGGCCGGTTGAGAAAACTGCATGGTTTTGCGAACCAACAACCATTTGTTGGGGTCGGGAGATGGGCGCGATAAAAATCCATTTCTTTCATTGCTTTTAAATTGCCTGTTTAAAGCATTGGTGCTGACATCAAGGATAATTAGAGAGTACCATTCCATCAACAGACAGTGTACTTTTTTCTTCATTTCAACAATTTTCATTCAACAATAAATGCATCAAATGTAGAACAAATAAAAAATATATATATAAGAGAAAACTACTAAAAATGGTCCCCTCATAAATAAAGAATATGCCTTAAAATGTAAACATAATTTTGAAGTTATAATCCTACATACCGTCTTAGCATCATTGCGACTTGCTAATGTGGATGATCAAAAGATGACACAAATTGTTTGCTGCTTTCATCCGGTGTCTGCCGGGTTAGTTATTAGCTTCAGAATTGCTAACGTGGATGTGGGCAGGCTGTGCAAACTCTGCTTTCATTTTCATGCTTTCCACTTCATCACTTGGGTGCTATTTGTTCAAATGATTCAAGAGGTTAGTTGTATTGTCTTTGATGTCATACCTTGCACAATGGCTTCCTCCATGCTGTTCTGAAGCAGGGACGCCCAATCTTTTTTTGACCGAACATCTACTTTTCAAGCAACCAACGTCCCGCAATTGATCCTTTACTGCACGTTCACACACACACACACACACACACACACACACACACACACACACACACACACACACACACACGCAAGTCATGATGAGCAACAGCTATATCGCCCCCTAACATGGACCAAAAATAAAAATAAAATAGATACCAGAGTTTGTGAGTTTGTTAAAAGGAAATCACTGCCTACCTTAGTCGAGACCTGACGCGGAGGCAAGTGTATGTATGTGTACCATTTTAAAATGATCTTCCCGGCCCTCCAGATTGCCATTCTTTGCCAGTGCCATCGGCGAATTGTACATCAAACAAACTTTGAATGAAAGTAGCAATAATAATAATAATAATAATAATAATAAAAGGCTGATCTCAACAGCTCTGATCAGAAGCCACAGTTGCGGACTGCGGACCGCTAATGACTTGCGGTGATGCAGATCACGGGCCATCTTAAAGATGACCTGTTTTCTTATTTTATTTTATTTTTTTAAACACTTTTTTGAGAAAGAGAAAATGATAGGATGCTTAGGGTGCACTGTACATTTCTCCCATCAGAAGCTTCATGTTTGGAAGTCATGTCTGCCCATCAGTTGCCGATTACCTTTTTGAAATGTAATGTCTGGCTAACTTTTTCTATATTTTCGTGCCGATCAACTTCACAACCAGAGTTGAACATCACTAATCAATCTGATGAGTGGTAGTTGTGTTGGCTACTAAGTGCTATCTTGGTAGACAGTTAAACAGTTGTGAGCAATTCAGTCTACTCACAAGATACTGCAACTTCCTTGCTGCCAGTTTACCAAGCCTTTTGTCTCAGTCCTGGCCGTGTTGTATATATTTTTCAGTTCCAGAGATGGACGGCAATGCTTTATCCCAAACCGTCCGATATTTTTAATTCCCCATGCTCTGTGTATGTACGTGTCTCTTTTTTTTCCAACTTTGTTGAACCGCTTTGACTCGATCTGGAAACACGCCGCCAGAAACGCTGCGGCACACGTTAATTCTGATTGTAGCATTACAGTATGTACTTGCTGAGATACTCATTTATACTGAAATCATTTGGGGAAGCTGAACTTGAGGTCCTTTAGGTGTTACTACAGCATCAGATTAGAACAGGTAATTAAAAAAAAATGTCCGAACTTTAGTTCAGAATTTTAGATATGAAAAGCTTACATAACCATTTTTAATGAGAGGTTATCTCTGTGACTAAAGTAGAGAAAGGGGAATCCAAACAGAAAAACAAATTACCGGTATTAAGAAAATTGTTGATTTTTAGATCCCTCTTGTGGCGTGACGATTTTTTTAAAGTGTTTCTGTTTAGTCGTTGTCTGCTTATGTGAGTGTGTGTTTGGTGTGCTCACGTGGTCGTATGTCTACTTTAGTTTGATCGATACTCTAGATGTAGTCCTCATCTTTGAGAAACCGAGACATCATTAAACACTACGTTTTATCAATTGTCTTCAATCATCTTGTCTTCTGGTCTTGTAAAATACAACACGCACCATGAAGATACAGTAATAAACATCCTGATAACATCATACTTGCTCATCGCTTTTGGTGAAGATGCACAGGTTATTTTAACTTCCCTTCCAAATACTTCATCTGGCGCGCTTCTGTATGACAGATGGATCTGCCATCTTGTTCTCCCCATGTACATGTTCCCTTCTCGCTGTCTGTTTTTTTTTGTCTGTGTGAGTATAACACACTCCTTTCTCCTTTTAATTTTTGAACATATGTGATTGATGTTATTTATTCATCATAAGAAGAATACATATAACTGCACCTTGAAATGCAATACACCTGGGGTGTGTAAAATCTTCTCTCAAGGGCCTCATTTGCTTTTTTTTTTTTTTTTAACACACAAATGGGCCTGGTAATTCATCCTGCTCATGAGATAAAATAGATTAAGTTAAATGTAAAATTGATGAAGATATAGTTAAAATGTGTATGTGTAATAGTTAATTTTAATAATAAAAATTCATGCATTCATTTTAATGTATTTCCATATTAATGTAATGATAAATAATCAACCACTTACCTCATATAGTGAATTTATATGTGTTGATAAGTAGGGATGGGCATCACTGAAATTTTAATACTTTTTCATATTTTCATACTACTCTTCATGATTCTGCTTATCATTCCTGTACTTTAACCAAGGGCGGAGCTAGGCATCAAGCTCCACTGGGGTCGGGCCCCCGACCACAGTGTTCTGCAACCACTGGACCACTTGGTACCGGGCCGCCGATATACATTTTTTAAAAAGCACAATTTCTGTAGTGGTGCATATATAACGCAAGTGTATGTTATCACCATGGCAGAAATGTTGCCTGTCAACGAAATATCAGTCGGTCCATGATGGAAGAAAGGTTGGGGACTATTGCACTACAAAATCCCCTTACACACACACACACACACACACACACACACGCACACTAAGCCATTAAGGAAAAAAGAAGCAACTGACCTGCAAGGTTCAAGTACTTTTAGCTTTTGCAATTTGGCCAACTCCTGTTCAGTCAGCATGGCAATCTTTACGCTTCTGCTGCATTTGACAGTGGAGAATTGTTTCTCCAGATTCGCTTGACCATCTCTAGGGTGAAATTCCATCTTGTTGCAATGGTCTGCGCCGGCGATTCATGCTAAAGTCTGTGTGCAACTTGCCTTTAATTCCTGGGCATTGGATGGAGTATGCTTGAAGTGACCGAGAGTCTTGCGACATTTGGTCACTTTCAAATCCACTGTCATTAAGGGAAACGGTTAGCATTGTTTGCAGACTGTGGACTGTGCAGGACAGGTGTTCAAATGGAAGTAACGTAGTCTTGCGGCTGTAACCGTGTTACGATCACTATCAGTGTAAAGAGTGGTTAACGTCTCCTTTATTTCCCATTTGTTTGCAACATCCACAAAATGGCGTGCAGATGCGCTGTGACCCACAAGTAGTTATTGTTGCTCACAGAAGATCACTCTTCCTCATACAAAGCGTGTAATGTTGATACTATGTTTCCTTTTATACTGAGTATCTTGCCTTTTATACTGGGTATCTGGCGGTATTTTTTTTTTGCTATGCACATAACCAAGTAATCGACCGTCTCACTTACAGCTTAAGTTATCCAGCCACGAGCACCAAATTCCAGCAGCCTTGATTGGTGAGCCCCTGTGGTGCTATCTTTAGCTGGGTGTTTTTGCTCGAAGATGACACAACAAAAACGAACAGCTTGTGTGATATTTGTATTCAACTGGATAAAATGAGCAAACTACCATATTTTTAGCTATATAAGGGGTTTCGGAGTAGAAGGTGCACCATCAATGAACCTTTTTAAAGTAAGACTGTCCAAAAGTCCGTCTATGTCCATGTTCACGCTTGGGACTCTCCTTGAAGTTTGTCAGCACTTGTGAGCAGAAGTAATAGGTCACAGGAAGTAAAACTAAATGAATACACAAACAGCATTCATAGATTAATGGCACTATTTATTATGTGTTATAATACACACACCTACACACACACACACACACACACACACACACACACACACACACACACACACATACACACACACTCACACATTACAGATTACCTGTTGTTACCTTGTGGACAATCACTTGAACTACATTTGAACAAACATTACAGTTGACTGATTTCAAAACTAGTGGGATGAGACGATTAAACAGTTTTGTGGTTTCACTGTTATAACAACCCTCCGAGCGAAGACGTAACTCCAAAGTGGCCCATGACAAAGATGAATTTGACACTCCTGCACTTGCTCATGCAGTTAGCAAGCTACCCATGATCAAGCCCTGAAAAATTCCTCTTCTCTGAATGCCACAATTAACAGAACAGCTCAGTATTGCAATTTACAATTTAAATTAAAACGGGCACGCAAACAGTACTGTGCGACCCGCACTGGAGATTGGTGCTACTTAATGTAAAAACTTGCTGCCTGTCTCCAGCACACATACAATTTTTAAATTCCTAAGCAATGTATTTTGTGTTATTCAGATCATACGTTCACGCTATGTTGAAACACAAAGCGTTGAGGGGTTTATAACTAGCGGGATTTATGAGCAGTGTAGTATGAGGTAGAAGCTGAATAACGTGTATCACTGTGTAAATAGTGAACTAATTGAAAAATGACATGTTGCAAGATTTTTATTTTAATTAAGTATCCATTCATTTCATTTTGTTGCTTTAACCTTCCACGTTTCACCACATGGTTTTTCATAACGGGGAATAAAAGGCTGTAAACAAAACACCACTGAGTGTGCTGTATTACAAAGTGCTGCTCTCGAAATATATCATAGGAAGAATC